TTATGGGCTTTAATTCGGAATAGAGATATTGGGATTGAATTTTAGGATTAATTTCTAATCGCAACTCGAAAGAGGGGAGAGAAATACAATAGGATTCTTGCTTTTCAATATGGGAAAATCAATTGGAATAATTTGAATTCATTGAATCATAATTGAAAGTTAGGTGAAATCATTCCGTAGGCTTTCTCATTTTATAATTTTATATTCTACAATTTTGTCGTCGCATATTACTTTTGATTAGTTTAAAACAATCATTCAACCATTTATCATTTGTCTAGATAAAATAGAAGTTATACAATTATATTAATTGGTGGAAATTGAATTACAATCCCTGTGGGTTCGACACTCTTAACTCAATCACTATATTACAAAACTTGACACCGTACACTTGCGGCATAAATTCACGTTGTAGAAAACGAGTGACAATGTCCGGGCCAACTTGCGCGCACCTCGACTAATTCCATGGGGCCCTGAAGTTTACGACCGAATACTCATTTCAGTGATCCTGAGAGGACTCGAACTGGTGACTATTGGGGAGCAAATCCAATGTCTGACCAATTGAGCAACATCTCAAGGTTCTATCCTTGAGATTTTTGAAGGTGGGATGGGTGAAAATTTAAAATAAAAAATTCATTTCTCACCCTCTTTTCTTCCTTTATTTATTATTTATATTTCACTTTTATGTCCTTCGTTGGTATTCCAATTTTCTAACTAAATGGGAAATTTTTGTGCCAAATGAGACGGGTCAGTGCAATACGGGATGAGATTGAACTGGATAAGCACCTCTAATCCAATTCAAATATATTTTCTTGGTAAAATGAAATTTTAGTGAATTTTTGGACATTGTTAAAAAGTAGGAAAAATTATGAGTTTACGTGTAAAATATTTTATTATATGAATGTATTGTTGAAAATTAGGCCCCATTATTTCAAAACATTGTTTGATACAGTAAAATTCTCCACTACACATTCATCCAATAAAATATTTTATAAGGGCCTGTTTGGTAGGGATTCTTATTTTCTACAGTAAGTCAATTCTCATTTTCAAACACACATTTTTCAATAAAATAATATTTTCCATCACATCAATAATTTTTTCTTCCTTTTCAACCGCACATTTCTCATCATATCACTATTCAAAATCAATTCTTCCTCCAAAAAATCCCTACCAAACAAGCTCTAAATCAATAAAGTTACTTTAAATTTCAACCACACATTTTTCAAAAAATACTATTCATTACTGCATTTTTTCTACAATAATGAGAGACAAACATACTATTAATGTGTAATTTTTTTATTTTTTTGAAATAATGGTAGTCATACGGAAGTTTGGTGAGAAAATTCCATTTTTTTTTTCACCAATACGCACATCGCCTCTCTTCACACGCACGTCGACGGCCCCCCCACCCTAATGGATAGGGATGGCAACGGGCCCCCCACCCCGCTAAGAAATTCTCCGTCCCGTTACCCGTTTAAGGCAGGGCGGGGCCTTTCCCCATTTATTCTCCGTTAAATTTTTTTTTTTTTTTTATAATTTATTTTTATTGCATATATTCATTAGAATTAGACAAATAATTTTAGTTACTATTTTCTATTAGAACTAATAAAATTTTTTATTTAAAGTATTGAATAATTTAACGGGGTGGGAATCCCGTTACCCGTCCCCGCCCTAGATCAAAATTCCCCATCCCGTTACTCGTTTAAGCGGAAGGCCCCGTTGGTATCGTGTCCGTTCGGGTTGTTTTGCCGTCCAGTAGTGGACCTCTCGGAACCCTAACTCTTCTACAAAACTTCCCCGCTACTATCCATCTATCAACCAATGTCTCACTAAACCTAAAAATTTCACAACTTAACCGATTCTCCTCCTCATTTTCAATTTATTCCCCCTGTAAATTTGTTCCAGAGTAATCGCAGATTTAACCGCTTAATTATTTCTTGAACTTAGGTAACTTCTTCCTCGAGATGTATCAGTTTTGCAATGTTATGTTTTCTGTATTGAGTTTTCATCTATGAAATTATATTAGTTCGATTTTGTCCTGGGATCTTAACGTGTTGAGTAAATATATTTTCTAGGGCCTGGTTCTTTCTTCTGTTTCGTCCTTTTTTCTTGAGTTCAGCTACTAACTTTTTTCCCTTTCGTAATCATGGCCAAATGTCTGTTTTATTCCAAGATCTATTTTTCCCACATCCTGGGTTTTGCATAAATCAATTAGAATATGTTGTTAACTTTGCTACTCTTATTTGTTTAGTTTTATGCACGCAAACAAATTTTTTTTTTAACTACGTGTTTAGTAGCATGGTGTATCTGATCGGTAGGTGCTTTATGTGGTTGGCTAATTAATAGTCCTATATTTGGGTGACTTGCTGTCAGTTACGGTATATGCAGATGGCCTAGAACCTGGACTAACTCGTTCCAATGCTATATTGGGAACTTACTTGCCTGATTCTTCATGAAATAAATGCTCTCTTCCTCTGGATGAAAACCCGCTGTTAAGATTCATTGAACTTCCATTCTTGGAGTCACGTTATAATGATATGATAATATATGTTTTTTCAGACATCGATAATCTATGTTTGGTTTCATATAAGAATTATTTAGGCCCCGTTTGAGCCAAATTATTGTAGAATGAGAATGAAAAATATAGCTGGGGCCCACATAAGTGATAAAAAATTTGAATTTAAATGTTGATATGATAGATAACGGTCATATTTTCCATTTTAGTGCTTGTTTGGTAAATATTAAAATTCAATTAAAATTGAAAATATAATCGTTACTGGTCTCACTCGTCTAATAAAAGTCACAATAACGGCTAGTTTTTCAATTTTAATCCGATTTTAATCTCAACCGATCACGCCCTTAATGAGATAATAATGTAGATCAAACGTGGCCTTATTACATTTATCTAGTATTACTTCTGGTACCCATGTAGTCGCTTGACTGTATTGCCTTTGAGACTGTTGCGTTTAATGTTTCTTCCTGCATCTTCGTTTTGTCATGATGTTTTACCTGCCTGTTACAAAAATTTGTCCTGAATTAGTTGAGTTTTTGAGATTCTGTGTGACCCAGTAATATTAAACAGCCAACTTGGCAGATGAGATGATTGGCGTTTGATCCTTCTTCATGAACTAAACTGTTAGCTAGTAATTATATTATCTAGCTTTCGTGCTCAGGAACCTGATAACTGTTTTTTCTTTCAGATTTACTTTGATAAGCTTGAGTTTTGTATCTTCATAACCAATGGCTTCTTTGGATATATCTCTTGATGATATGATAAAGAACAGGCGTAGTAGTGACAGAGGTAGAGGACTAGGCAGGCCTCGACGTGGTGGAGGGCCAGGTCGGTCATTTAGAGGTGGAAGAACAACGGGGACTCAACCTAGAGGCCCACTCAGCTTAAATGCTCGACCATCAGTCTACACCATTGCCAAGGCAAGCTCGGAACTATGCATTTTGTAGACAATCTCTTAGTGTCTCGTACAAAAGGTTCTACTTATGCTATAGAAAATCAAGTGCAATAGATATTGTGACTCTGTTTGGTTCAAGGAGAAGACCACAGTGACTCAGCAGAAACAAATCCGCTAAATTCTATTGAATTTGTTCTAAGATCCTGATGATTCTTCTGTTCATGTGGGTTTTTGCTCAAGAACTTTGCAATGGATCTATTTGTCAAAAGAAGATCTTCAGTGACCCCTAAGGGGATGATGCTACTTAGCATCTTATTTAATTGACAATTTAAGAGCTCTCACCCCTTAATATCCGCTAATGAACTTGAGGCTTGAATTTTCTTAGCCATCTTAAGTCATTATATTGAACAAGGACCACTCTAGTTTACCACTTGATTGTTTAGAGGGGGAGTTTTGGTGACACGTTGCAAATGTGGATCATTTTATGATGAATTCCGTTGCTACACGTTAGATTACATTGGTGGCAAGGTTTCAGTCACTATCTGAGTTCATGGCCTTTTTGCAAAGGTGGTTTCCTTCGCTGAATGTCAAAACTGGAGCTCTCTCCTTTTGCATAGAACCAGTTGACATCATGTGGATCAAATCTCAAGCTCCCATATGCACTAAATTTTGTACTCAATTTCCCATGGAATTGGATTATCTTGCATGAGCATTTCGATGTAACTCTGATGACATTTACTTTTCCAATCTTAGTATATTTTTGGTTTGCTTGCATCAGTCTGTCCGCAGAACCAAGAATTTGCCATGGCAGAATGGTCTGTTTGAAGATGGTCTTAAAGCAGCTGGATTATCAGGATTAGAAAATGGTACAAAGATATTCATTTCCAATTTGGACATTGGGGTGACGAATCAGGATATAAGGGTACTGATATTGAGCTGAGCCTTCATCTTCTTAAGGATTTTCTTTTGAAGATTTCCTAAAAAAGTACTTCTCATGCAGGAACTCTTTTCTGAGATTGGGGAGCTGATACGATATGCAATTCACTATGACAAAAATGGGCGACCTAGTGTGAGTATGAGGCTTTGTGAATTAATTTCATTATGATTGCGTCATTTTAGACTTTTTTAAATTGGGATCCATCTGACATACTCTTCTGAATCCTGTTCCGGAGCTCTTCCCTCTCCAGTAATCATGTTTATGTATCTCTAATTTATTGAGCTGTATCCCTCATGTAAGCTGTTGTTGACAAAAAAATGACCAGTAGCTTGCTAAATAATGATAATGCATGTGGACTATAAAGCAATAAGCAGCTGTAATTGAACTCAATTGCTGAACTAATGTTCATTTTTTTTGTTTTTGTATTGAGTGTTGCAATGAGCATTTATCATTTAATGTAATGCTTCAGATATTTGTTCCTTTCTGGGACCCTCTTGCTTCAGATATTTGTTCCTTTCTGGGACCCTCTTGGCTCGTTTGACATGCACATTTCCCTAAACTATAAAAACATTGTCTCCAAACACTGGAGACCTAGTCCCTTTGATGCACGTGTCATTTGTATTTTCCCTTGCCAGTACTCGTAATGTGTTTGAAGATTTTCGTACCTTTATTTCTTACCTTTTTCTGTCTGGAGATATATTGCTTCCATTTTGATTTTGATTTCCTCATTTCCTAATGGTGTACAATATTTTTTCGAAAGGATTTGTGACACTTGGGATATTTTCTCTGTAGTCTGTGTTTACTTTTATTAGTTTGTTGATGCATTTCATACTTTTATACGAGTTTAAAATAATATATTCTGGCCCAGGGTTCGGCTGAAGTGGTTTTTGCCAGAAGAAGTGATGCATTCAAAGCACTTAAGAAATATAACAGTGTCCAATTGGATGGGAAGCCTATGAAGATTGAGATAATTGGTGTCAAAGCAGAAATCCCTATTTCAGCTCACGCGAATGTAGTTGGAAGAGCAAATGGAAAAAGTACAGTTATCATGGTGTACGTTACTATAATTCCTTCTAATTTTTTGTATGCTGATTCTATTTGTATTCCCTTTTTTCCTTTGGTAGTGTGTGCCTTGAATGGTGGCGCATTGAACATTGAAAAAGATGACTTGGATTTGTTTCGTATCTTTGTAAGAGTTTGTTTACTTAGATTAAGTTTACGTTTTTGAGTATTTAATTTTTGATAAAGCCTCGTAACACAAATTTTGAGTATTAGTATATTTAATTATTTTGCCTATCTATTTTAAAAAGATTTATCATTTAGACAACAAATATTTAACATACATGATATTGAAATTATTTGACAAAATTTGAACACTATTTTTCGAAACATTAAATTAAATTATTTTCTGCCTCTTAATTTCATTTAATATTACTAAATTACAATAATAGTTATATTGAATAATTAATTTTTCATCTTATTTATTAGTAAACCAAAAAAGGTGTTTTGAGTCATTTCGTTGATCAACATAGAAATAAGTAATTTTTTGTAGTGTTGCTGTGTTGATAGTAACCTCTCCTGTCTTGTCCAAATAAGTAATTTTGCTTGGTTGGGGAAAAAAATGGAAATCTATAAGCCCCCAGCTGAACATGTTTGGATTGAGGTACTTATAAGCAGATTTACTTGGTTACTTGCTGATAACCTTGAACCAAACATGCTCTAAGAGAGCCTTACTTCCTCCTGATTGATATTCCATTCTTGTGAAGACAACCCATGGTAATGTGCTTGACTATGTTTGCTGTACGATGTTTGTTCAGATCACTCCAAGCAGTTATCATTGGATTTTGTTTTGTATTATACTTGATAGACATAGTAATCTAATGTTGCAGCAAGGTTTTAAACTGGATGCCATTTATTGTGCAGGCCTCGACAAGGTTATCCCACAAGCAGCTCTATTGCTTCCAATCGTAGTTATATGTAAGTTGCCTATGACCATTTCTTTGTGCATGTTGCATTATTGAAATTGTTATTGATATTTAATCTTTTGAACCACAACTTTTTTGCTTCATGATCTTATGATGCATGTAGTGGTTTTTGAATTCAATATTTGTTGCTTCTTGAAAGTAATTTATGGTTTTCTGTTCTTAGTTCATACTTTTCCACAGTAATGAGTAATCATGGTGCTTTGATGGGAATGGGATTAAACTATGCTTGATAGCCAAATAACACACAGAAGCTTGTTCAAATGCATGTTTGCATTACTAGTTAATTGCCTGAGTTCACTTGAACGGAAGCTAATGGATGTGGAGTGAGCATGTCTAATTTCAAATTGATTTGTGGAAGTTAAGAACTGCAATTCTTTAAGCAGGTAAAATGAAGCATCACAACCTGGCTTGAATTCCTCTGAGTTTGGGCCTTGTGCAGTTCTTTCAAATGTATTGCTTCAAATGTATGTTGGTTGACAATTTGCAATGCACCTTGTGCGCAATCTTTAATAATCTTTTGATAACTGTGTTAAAAAAATAGAGCGAAATATAGAAACACTGATGCCCCTGGACGCTGGCCAGTAGGCAAACTTTTTCTGTTTCTTATCCACAGTTTTATGCAACTAACAATTTGAGCCTAATGTGATTGTCTATATTTTGATCAGTCAGAGGGGCCGTGGTGGTTCATACAGTGGACGGGGAGGAGGACGTGGCCGAGGCCGTGGCCGTGGCCGTGGTGGAGCTCGTTGGATTAAGAAAAATGTGGATAAATCAGCTGACGATCTTGACAAGGAGCTGGAGAGCTATCATGCAGAAGCGATGCAAATTTAGATGATTCTTGAAGCTCTTTTTGGATAGTTGTCTATTTTAAATTCTAGCCATAAAATGGTAAACGGTTGCAGTGGTTTTTGGTTGCGTTTCAGACATTTTTGGACGGATGATATGCTATATTTGGCTGTAGATGTTTTACTTTCATTGATTTGAAATAGAATGACGTGTTTGCATATGTACAAGTTGCTAATTTGAAAGCTTTAAAACTGCATTTTTGTTTGTGCTCTGTCATTTTCTTATCTAGTCGATGAAACAGCGTTTTTTTTCCTTTTTTGTGCATGTTTGGTAGTGCTTTCGTGTAGATAAAAAAGTATGTTTAATCAGTTTAAATTATAACTTGGCAGAGCACAACACAAAGGGCTGTCTATTAAGTGTGTTCACAATGGCTTCCTTATATTTCGAGCTTTATGTTGGTTAGGATGTGCTTTTTGTGGAGGAGTTTCTTCCTTGATCTAGCTTCCTCTAGAAACTCCTCCATTTAGATAAAACACTTTTAGAAAATTTTATAAGTATGCATCAACAGTAGTCAAAGCACATAGACCTGTGTACAAGAAAGAATGGTAAGAACCAACAAGCGGAAAAAGATTAATCTCTATACCAAACCTTTCATTACACTGGCAATATGCTATCGATGAGGTATAAAAAAAAAAAAAAGGTCAAAACGTTCATCATTCAGTAACAGAGGGGTCTCTTTTCAATAACAATTGCCCCGTCTCATCCCTCTTGAAAAGCTTCTCAACTACTTCATTCCAATTAGTTCTAGCATTTTTACTTGTCGGTTTTTTAGTTTTATTGGAATCCTCTATTTCATCCTTTGAAGATTCGACCTTCTTGTCCCCTGAAGATGACTCTTCAATGATGCCAGAGGATTCTTCTCCAGTAATGGTTACAGCATGTGGTATATTCAGACTCACAGCTCTCTCTAAAGCATCCTTGTGTTCCTTTTCAATTGTCTGCTTCCTATCAAATTTTTGGACTTTAGGCGGTGTCGTGGTAGTTTCTGTACTAAGCTTTTTCAGCTCCTGCACGACAATATATGTTCGTTGTTACGTACGTTTAAAGAAGAACGTCACCCATTGCAAATATTTGGCATGGTTGAAGCATTTGGTTTTCCAGCCAGTATATCTTTTATCATTTAAAGGTTTGTAATAAGGAAGGTCATGCTGTTCAAACAATCTAAAATCCAGATATGATGACAAAATGCTTGGGAGTCTTAATTCCTATAATTCAACGGGTACAAAGATTTAGTTAGCATCTTGAAAAAATCAAACATAATATAGGACTGGTACTAAATTTAGTCAGCTTTATTTTTACCTTATTGACACAACAAGATTCATTGAATTTAAGTTAATCAAGTACAGTACCACCAACTGATTTCATGCAGATTAATTCGAACTCATCAGTGCACTCCGATAGCAACATTAATTGAAAGAAAGAGTTTTTAGTCATTTTCTCTAGGATAATGAAGAAACAAGAAAAAATAGTGCATCCAACCTAGGTTAATACTTGATTATAATAGTAATTTTATATGGTAGATGCAAAAAAAAAAAAAGGAAAAAAAAAAGAATCATATTTTAACCTACTTACTTCTAGAGCACGTTCTGCCTCTCGTTCTATCCAAATAATAGCATGATCAGATGTAGCATTGCATGACAAGACAATATGTTCAAATCTCCCATCAACAGGGATGGCTGTTCTGACCTCTGGAGGATACCTTCCACATCTGTGAGTACCAAACAGTGAATACAAGTTAAGAACAATCAATCTGTATGCTTTTCTTTTGTTGGTGCAAGTATAAAAAAATTTCCGAGCATCATTTCTCTTTCAAAATAGATGAATATAAATTAAATGAAAATAATTGCTGGAAATGACAGATGTTCTCAATTATTGGGGAAAAAGGGTTTTCCAAAGTACCCAAATAAAATAGAAAGCAGTTGAGATTTGGAATATTTGCCAACCCCAAGGCTTGCAATGGTAGGATATACTCGGGAAACACTTGTGTGAACACCTTCTCAAGTAATGTTCAACTTCACTTTACAATGACTCTATTGGTTGGCAAGAAACACTTCTGACACAATCAAGCATGACATAAAATATGTTCTACTAGTTATACAGCTATATGTGTCTAGCTAATCAGAGAAACATTGACTACTTGCATAAAAAGTTTTGTAGTGATACAAAAGTCCCAAAGCTCTCATAGTCGAGACTTGACAAATGAGTATTTGTTAAGTTTCTGTAGATGACTATTACAGTTTTGCACACTAATAAAAATATCTAGCGAATTAAAAAAATAGGCATGGAAAACTGGACGAAGAGAAGAATGAGTTAAGTTCTCAAGGAAATCATACATCGACGAAGTGAATTTATTTGGTTTAATCAATCTAAAATTGGAAAGAGGCTTAGTGCCCAAAGAGGTATGGAAGTTAACTTTCCCCCCTCTTTTTAATTATTATGATAACAGAATTTCGTGTAAAGTTAATGTAGGATGCACATAATGTGTTTCGCTCTCTGACACTAAGAAAATAATCTTAGCAATCAGGAGCAGATGATTATGATTGTCTCAATACAGTAGCTATTCACAGATATCTTCACACTGTACAGCATCAAGGCCAAGTAATACTACAGGAAATAAAATGTAAAGTTAAATGAATTCACAATCTGTAGGGTGTAATTTCGTATGTAAAACAGGATTATTAAGAAGATTCCTTTATTGCACACGTAGTGGACAATGTTGAAAAATTCCTTTCCCTATCAAATTATATTCTAGAATAGGGTTGTGCTATGTGTACACCACAAGGTTACCAGAGCATCGAATTCCGATACTGAACGAGTCACCAGAGCTATGGTAGGACTCCAGAACAGTCACAAAAAGGATTCAATTCGTTATGATAACAATCGATTAACACTTGTGTAGCCAACAAAACCATGATCATTTCTTACATCACTTGGATAAAAAGCATAGAAATCATGATTTCACGTAGATTTGATGCAATTTTACCTGCAAAATTTTCTTTCCACAATGTGATAAATTCGACCGGGTGCATACAGTCTTCTTGGATCTCTGAGCTTTCTACCTTCAGGTATAAAGGTATCCCTCAGGCACACGAGAAATAGTAAGCACGGCAAACTGTCCAAAGCATTAAGGCCTGGTTTAAAAAATGACTATAGCAATTCACTCCTTTTAAAGGCAACAAATCACATGAATATAAAATTGTTATCAGCATCATAGATCCTTGAGTATTATGAGATGTGAAAACTAACCAGAAGATGGATTTGAATATATCTTCCAATGGAGTGGGTGTTCTTGGTAAGAAATCATCCTGGACAGTTATAGCAGTATTACTACATGATAGTACTCGCATAATATTCAACCAAAACTAAAAATATCAAATTATTAAGATTCACATTACACATTTTCATTTGCTATAGCAGATATAGCAAAAAGTTAAAGGGTCTTATATCAGGTAGTACACATTTTAAGAGATAGTACTCCATTAAATAGTGGCACTATATAAGAAGGCATTATCATGGTTTACATTTCTCATGTGTCAATTGTGTAAAATATTAACCAGGGTGATGTGCAGAATGACATTTTCTACCTAAACTACGGAAGCTAGTTTTACAGGAACATCCGATTTTAACGAGTTTTGATGTGCTATTATAATCAAATCAATCAAATTTTACTAATTTCCAAATTAATCTTTATATCTTCCCAATTCTGCCCTTCCTCTCTATTTTCATATCGATCTTTCTTTCTTTCCTTCTGTTAGAATGCCTTGGCAAAATTCAGAAAGAAAACAAATCTTGAGCTTTCTCTTACACCTCTGTTCCCCCGTGGGTGAAAATGGAAACCGTGGCTGTCACCAACAAAACCATAAGATTTCTGTTTTTTTTTTTTTAATAGCCAAAAATCTATAAATCTTCATACTAAACCCGATTGCCCACATTCCTTGAAGAAATCCTTTGATAATAATTCGGCAGGTAGGTTAAATAGTCCATTCCCATCAAGCAGCCTTCTGAAGAAGAATGCAGAAGCTTCGCTCTCGGTTTGCATTGATTGAAAAGTTTTCACACCTAGTTAATTATTTTGGTTTTAAAGTAGAATTTTCTTTAGGATTCATTATAGAATATCCTTATTATTTTCAAGAACAAGAAGACTACATAAGTGTTGTCAAAACCTTTATGGTTCATTTTTGTAGGATTTATTAATTTACTATTTTCAAGAAGAACACTACGTAGGTTGTCAAAACCTTTATGGTTTAGCCATGACTGTCCTATTAGAATTTTAAAGCGGTCTTATGATTTCAATCGGCAGTTGGATTTCTTGCCATTGTTTGCCCTCATTTTTTTCTCACGGAAGAAACTGAACTTTTCTCCATTACTAGAGCTTTAGGATTCCTTTGAGGACAGGTGAAGCAACAGCCTACAAAAGAGGCCTAGAGTAGCAAAAATTTTTCAGAAAATTAATTTAAGGCAACGTAGGATTTCAAGGATAAGAGGTAACAATATTTTTGGACAACCTCTCTTATTACGTATGAAATATTTGCCCAAATACTGTCTGCAATGGTTGACTTTACATCTGGGTAATAACTGTAGTGAATGATTTGAGAAATCCCAATTACAATTTGTCCGACTGAGATCACATCATTAAATCCTAGTTTGGTAGTGATTTTAAGTGCTTAAAAGATGTAGGTCCTAAGGAATGTCGGGATAGTAAGCTCCACGACTGTGGAGAAAAAGTATGTCTGACTAGCTTAAAATAAAAGTTAAGCTTTGCCAAAGCATGTGGTAAACACGACCTTCTTTAGGTACGCAAGACATGCCGTAACCACATCATTCTAGTAAGTGGAGTTGGCATCAATTTAGGATAAACAAAGGGACAGAACACCTAAGGTGGTTAGGATATGTCTTGAACTAAACAAACCAATAATGCACAATTCAACTGATAAAATGATGAAAGCAAAGGATGAAATCACATCACTCCTACTGGTTTTCACAAGTTGCAGCACATTTTCGCATTCAATTGATTGCCTTCATAATGGTGTAGTGATCACGTCCCACCTTAGGCCATTGACTGGATCTTAAAAGCATTACATAGATATTAATTCTGGTCACGCAATAAGTTATCAACCACAAACCAATCCCCGTCCCTTCCCACATCTCACTGCACCTTTAAATTCTTCATCGTTAATAATTAATTCCAAAATTTCTAAAAACACTACACAGAGTCAGGTATAATATGCTTGAGAGTTAGTTCTACTAAAGCAGTGTAAGGCGGCTGCAAGATGTTAATTATACAGAATCTTTTATCACCTCATTATGAAATACGATCAAATTCTTACAAGAATTTCAGTGAAAACTTTGTTTCCATTTTTTCCAACAAGTGGAGACCCTATATTTATCCAGCTGAAGCGTAACACAAATCATATTAATACGTACATCAACATTTACCTTTCAAAAATCTAGTAATCTGATTCATACCAAGGAATACAAAGAAAATCACTCACCTGCAACACGACTGAGCATATAACATCAGCGTACTTCACGGCCAAGTTGAGCGACATACAGCGTGCCGGAGCCACAGCGTAACACTTCACCAAACTCCGCGGAATCCCCCCTAGTTTATCCCCATGATTCACCACAATCACAGTCAAAAGCGCAGCGACCCCTGACCCCAATGAATGCCCCGCAAAAACCATCTTATACTCTTTTCCATTATCATCCCATAGTTTCTTCAAGGTGTCTGATTCATTGTTCAAAACCCATATAGCCGATTTCAACAACCCATGATGCACATACCCTCCATCAAACATCTGCATACCCAACCGATTATTCAATAACAACTTATAATCACTTTCTTTAACTAAATTCAACCCACGAATGGCTAGTACTATTTCACGATTGTCGTGGTCAAGGTAAATTATGTAAGGCGGCGCGTGGCCTTGTGCGTCCTCGTAGCTGACACGCTTGATGACCCAGTCGGGGTTCACGCGGTAGCCACAGGCGGAGGAATACTTGGGGCAGCGGATGTCGGGCTCGTACACGGCCAATATGATGCGGCAGGCACGAGGGATAGGCTCAAACTCCTCGTGGGTGGCGGTGGACCAGGTAGCGCTGTCGTCGCTGCCGATATAGGTGCAGCGCTTCCATGCCCACCTAACGCAACCCAAAATCACCACACATTCCACCCCACAAGAAACCGACATCCGATTAACTAGTTAACACTTTTGCTTCCAGAATTGATGAACCCTTTGAAGTTGTTTAAGTGTCTGCATATATAAAGGTATAATATATATGAGAATTTAATGTGGGATAGAGAGAGCTGGAAGATTCACGTGGTGGGGTACAAATACTTCAAAAGTTTCTCTCTTTTGTGGGTGTTCTTTGATTGAAGAATCTAGAAATGAAAATTGGAAACTTAAAACTGGGTATTGTTCTTTACTTGTGATTCTCGGTGAATTACTTAATACGAATTACCAATTCATATGCATTGATTTGCAACTGGAAAAGGGGCAAGGAATAAAAAACACGTTCTCGATGTGTTCGATGAATTGTTTAGCTGTTAATGAGTAGTAGTATCCATGAAGAAACCACCAAAGGCATTGTTCTCAAGTGTTCCACAGCTGCCAATTGGAAACTAACTCGGGCGTTTATCCGAAGGTAATTGTAGGGTAAATTGTATTGGATTTTGCCATGTGTACGTTAAGATTTTGTCATCCTATAATTTGCCAATTTAAAATATAGTCAATTTTTCATCCAATTTTTCCTTCATATCGATATTTCACTCCAATGTCAGTCAAGTAATCACACTTTAAATTTATTCAATCGTGTATCTTACTTTAAATAGATTTTAATCAGGTAACTGCATTCAATTTCGTTTTCTAGATTGACGAAAATCAATGAACTGATAGTCAACAAATAAAGCCCACAATTTATTTCACCTAACTTGTACGTATTTCACTTCATCAACTAATGGTTATGCGTGATGACCATCATTTATTAATTGACGCATCCATTCCTATCAATGAAATTGGAGAAGTTGTCTTAATTGAAATAAAATTAAAATGTAGCTACCCAATTGAAATAAAATAAAAAGTACTATTACCTTATTAAATCATATTAAAGCATAGTTACTCGATTAAACAAGATGAAAATCGAAATATAATTACCTGATTGACGATAAAATATAATATAGTTACTGTGAATAGAATTAACTCGAAAATTATACAAATTGTTCTCGAACTTGCACGAGCGTAAACATGATTCCATCCTCTAAAGTCAGACTTTTTTTAGCTCTCCAAGTTGGGCATTAAAGCCTGGTGGAACGAATTCAAAGGGACAAAAATTGAAGAACATTGTATTATTGACATTTCATGGAAAATTAGTTCTGAATTAAATGACATCGAACAATTTTCAATTACTCTAATATATAGATGTTGGCACTTCACTAGGTAAAATGCAAAAGTCACGCGGTAACAAAAAGCCTAACAGTCGAACCACTATATATAGCCTATGTCTCGGTATAAAATATCAAAAATGTGTATAATAAATAGATAGTAGTTGCGAATGTACGATTAGAATTTGATTATAAGTTACTAACAAGGACGGAGTCTGGTGACAAAAAAAGACGGGGGCTGTGACCAATTTGAAAGATGTATAGTTAAAATAATTGAATTTTGGACGGTTTGATGAAGTGAATGACACTCGATGGAATTGATAACTTTTTCAATCTATTTCATTATTAACTTATCCCCCCAAACTTTTTTCATATGCACTATAGTCCATGCAATATTAATGCATAATTTGGTTTCCATTTCCTTAACTCTTAGATATATACATTTCCCCCCTGCTATTCCTATTTCGATCGTTTATTTTATGGAGAACTCTAGGGATATTATAATTTAATTTTTTGCTGTTAAATAAATTATTTTCATTATTGTTGATTTTATAATTTTGTTGTCATTGTGTTTGAACTCGAACATGTTGTCATAAGAAACAACTTAATACAAGGATTGAGGAAAAAATGTTATACAAAGATTTTGTTTAAGGCGCATTATTTAGCCAAAAAAATGAAGAATATAATCGTTTGCCATCAAATTCAGCCCATATTTTTGACTTCTTCTCTCTAAGGTGGGGGCCAGCTATCTGTGCAACTATCATTTTTTTCATTTTCATGAGGCAGGAAATGTGCTCCGAACATGGGCAAAACCTTAAATCACAAAAACATATGTATTGAAGATGATATTGGCCAATCACATGTACATTTGACCTAACGTGTTGGTGGAATTAGATCGAAAGGGCATTTAAAAGCTTAAGCGGAGCATCTTGCATAATAGATATTTAATACATGAAGTTATGAATCAACTAAAAAATATGTTTGGGAGGTATTTATAAACGATTTAAATTATAAATATATAAAAATAAGTGATGAATAAGTGACCAGTGATTGTGGTTCCCTCAAAATATGTGAAAATAAGGGACTCAAACATTTATAAATAGTTAATAAACATAAGTGAGAACATATTGAAAGAGTTGAAATGTTGAAATTATAACTATAATATACACACGACTTCCTTCATTTCAACATATGGGACTTGGACCGTTGCCAACGAAGTTTAGAACCGATCTATATAGATTATAGAAATAAAACTTGCTTAATTAAAATGTTTGGATATCAAGTCAAGAATCTTACATACTTAGATCTCAAACTAGAGGTCGTGGGATTGTCTTCAAAGCCGTAAATATGTTTGAAAAGTGTTTATAAACAATTTAAATTATAAATAGATCGAAATAAATGGCGAATAATTATATAGTATTTGTGAATCTATCAAAATGTATAAATAAAAAATGATTTGAACATTTATAATCAGTTTATAAATATGAGCCAAACATAAGCTCCCATAGATCTTCAAATAGAAATTTCTTCCAAAGAAAATATTTTATTGTTTCCTCAAACACTACTATGTATTTTTCATCTTCTCCTCCACCCCTCCTCACAAACTCCGCCTTGATCTAATGCAAAAGAATAAAAACATTAGAAATTTATGTGATTCGACAAATGGTCTACTATGATCGGTAGAACACGATAACTTCACTATTCTAGGTGGAATTAACTTCAAAATTTATAGTTGCAAAACCATCATAATGACAATTGCTCGCACGACTAAAGACCTGTTTGATATAGATTTTGTGAAATTTATATTTTTGAAAAATATGTGGTTAAGAAGTAGAGAAAAATTATGGGTCCATATGCAAAATTAATTTATTGGTAGAATGTGTAATTAAAAATAAGTTTGAGAAAAATGAGTTTTAAAGAATCTGAACCAAACATGGCTTAAATAACAATAAATTCTCCAATTAAATCCAATTACCTTATTTTACTCGCAAAAAATGTTTGATCATATTAAATGTAGACCATTTGATCTTAGTCGTATTGATTAAATAAATAAAATTAAAAGCCACGATTATGAGTAATTCAAGCACGCAAAGAAACCATTGCGACATTCACTAAAACAAGTAAATAGTTTGATTATGCCCATTTACAAGAAAGAAAGAAAAATAAGTGACTGGGTCTCGACTAATAAAATGTCACGAAACTAGTATTCGAATCATATTTCTATTAAAATAGATTTCAAAATTAACATTTTACACTTCAATTGTTTTCAACATCATAAGAGGTTAACATTTAAAGTAAAGAAAATGCAAAGAATAAAGCAAAAATGAGTTTGCATGCTGGAAAGATATTTATTCCTTATTTATTATTCTTTGCTTTACAACTTCAATATTCCTTCACTTTTCGAATTTAAACATTAGGTAAATGTGTTTGGAAAATCAAATATAATTCAGATGGTTCCGTTGAACATTACAAAGCCTGATTGTTGGCTAAAGGTTATACACTTTTGAAGGACTGGATTAAGATTAAATATTTGCTCCGGTCACTGAACTTGTTAAAGTTCGATGTTTTCTTGCCATAGCCACTGCTAGAAATTGGTCCCTCCATCAACTAGACGTTCAAAATGACTTTTTCCATGGCGACCTTCATGAGAGAAGTATACATGCTTCCACCACCTCGCTACAGTTGATATGAAGAATCAAGTTTGTGGGTCGAAGCTGTTGGAAATTGGTTTAAAAAGAAAAGTAAAATGGTCAAGTATGTATGAAACCATAAAGTGAGAAAAGTGACCTTTAAGTCAAATTCGACTAAATATTCGGACTTGATCTGATACTCAAATTAAGAAAATAAATAGACTAACTTATTCTACTCATCAAGTAGATCGTCGTGGTATATTTGAAATCTCAAATCAAATTCTGAATGAGTAAGAAATATTGTGGTCCAAAGTTGGAGGAAAAATCGAATTTTCTGCTTCTAAGACTGTCACTCGAGCGGCGGCCCAGAGCCAGACAAGCGACAAACTCTCTGCTTTTGGTGCTTGAGTGGTGCACGGGTGACAGCAAGGGCTGCAACCTTTGGCAAATATTGCTGAGTTTTAGGGCGTGTTTCTTCGTTCACAACGTCTCATCCTCTATAAATAAGACCCTTTGGACGTGTATAACCTATCACAACCATATGCAATCATAAAATGACATAAAAATCATATTTCCTTGGTTGAAATTCTGCATTTAAAAAAAAAACTGTTTTTCACTTCATTCGAAAGTAGTACAAAAGCCATCTTTTTGGTTCGGTGTTCTTTTATTTTGAAGTACTACAAATACAAAAAGGGAGTCGTTGTATCTTGGGAGTTGATTGTCGTCATCTGTAGGCACCGTTGCGGGGCAAAGTCGACTTAAGGACAAAGAGTTCAACTCTTGTCTCCACTTTGCATCCATTTTTTTAGTGTTACTTTATCCATTCTCGTTGGCGTTTTAACTTCCATTTCTTTGGTGTTCATTTCTCAATTCCTTGCTATTACTCTGTCCAAATTTTGGTAAGATTGGTAAGTTCAATTTGTTAAAAAAAATCACTCAAATCCATTTTACAAACAAATAGAAGCAAGCTTCTCGGAATTGGTATTCTAAATTTTCTATAGTTATTCAAAAGGCTGGTTTAAAACAAGTGTGAAAATTCATTCATTGTAGTGTTACTTATTATAGGAAATGATTTTTCTGCCATAACAAATGTGAAAGGCTTCTCAATCAAGATTTAGAAAATTGAAATACTTCTCGGGAATTAAAGTGGCTCGTTCCAAAGAAGGCATTTCTATCTCACAACGAAAGTATATTTTGGATGTTCTTGGAGCTGCTCTAGTCACATTCCCTATGGAACAAAACCTGAAGCTTTAACCATTAGATGGTGAATTATTCAAAAATCCTAATCAACACAGAAGATTCATTGGTAATTTATCTTTACAATCAGAAGACCTTTTATCATTTAATCAGTGTAACTTCTTAGTCAGTTTATGCAACAACCACACAAGCCACATCTTGATGCAGCAATTCGATCTTTGCGCTATATATTCACGGTGAAAACCTGGAAAAGGTTATGAATTTAACTGGATATTGTGAAGCTGATTGGGGAGGTTCTACCACGAGGAAATCAATCTCCAGTTATGTTTTTCTTAGCAATTCTCTAATCTCTTGGACGACATAGAAACAACACACCGTTTTTCGCTCAACAGAAACAGAATATAGGGTGATGGCCTCCATTACTTGTGAACTTACTTGGTTGAGGTATGTCTTTCAGGATCTACAAGTCAATTTTTTGAGCCCTGCTAAATTATTCTATGATAATCCAGTAACATTTCGTATTTTGCAGCAAATCCAGTCTTCCATGAACGAACAAAACATTCTGAGATGGACTATCATGGAGAAAAAAATTCAATCAGGTCATATAGCTACATCCTTCACTTCATTGCATACTCAAATTGCGGTTATTTTTATTAAACCCCTTGGAAAAGCAACTTTCCATTCTCATCTACAGAAGTTGGGCATCGTCAACATCCATGCTCCAACTTGAGAGGAAGTGATGAAGTTTCGTAAGATAATATTACATCTTCAATCCAGATTTTTATTTTTCTTTTTCCCAATTTTTCAATTTTGTCCCAAACCCCACCACTAAAGTTAATTTTTTTTTTTCAGGTTTTTGGAGTGGACAAAATATTTTACATTGTGTTTCCTTATTGTAATAAAAAAAAAAATTAGCAAAGAAAATGCTTTTATATGTTTAACTTTTATATTAATCGTCTCTTCGCATTAATCACTACAATAAATTTGAATTTTTGAAAGGGAAAAAAAATCATCGCCAAACTATCACAAAATTATTTGCTACGGGTAAGACAAGATCCAAGGACCATAGTACCAAAAGAAAAAAAAATGTAAATGTGACACATCGAGAATGATTTTTACGAAAATTGTGAGCAAGTGGTAGAATTTCCAAAATCATGAAAGCTGTCGAAATTTATTAATGACCTGAGCAACATTGAAACACAATTTACTACAAAACCAAATCGAACAAAGCACTAATAATATTTTTGCACGTTAAGTAACAAAAAGTAATACATTGCAAGATCTATAATAGGCACGCGATACATCAACGCCCATCTCCGTGATTAATCAGATCGAATAGGATTTGAAGAGCCGCCACGATCATTTTCATAAATTTCAGCAAGCAGGAAGGGCACGGAAGCTACCCTTTCTAGTAATAGTTTTTGAATTGCCGCCACGATCATTTTCATAAATTTCAGCAAGCAGGAAGGGCACGGAAGCTACACTTTCTAGTGCAAATCTCTATGAGAAGCCTGAAAAGGAAATATAAATGTTCATTAGATAAAGATCTCTTTGAACTAGAATGGATATTATGGATTATGGATATGCCTTAATGTAGGATCATGTCCAGAAATTATATGACAGTAATCAAAGATCCTTAACTAATACAAATACAAATTGCAGGATGGTCAGAACAAGAGTAATTCTAAGTATGTATATAGTAGTCCTAAAAGGCTGTAAAACCTAAGATATTACTTGATCATAAATAGCTTGCTGAATTTGCCCATGTCGTTTAAGCTTAACATTTACTGGTTGATGCAACCTAAGGTAAATAGTTCCTTTCGTCACTTATGTGTCTTCTACTCCCCTTATCTCAACTGGGAAAAGAAAAAAGAAAAAATAACAGTGTCGGTATCAGTAAAATGCCGTCACATTTTGTTTGCTGGATACTAAATGCATGCAATTCAGGGCATTTGGGAAACAAATTCAAGAATTAAAGTAAAAATTTCATTAAGAGTTATCCAACAAAGTTGAATGATAGCTATCTTGAATTAGGGTAATCCAAAATAATGTCATTCCTCTTTCGACTCGTTTTACTGGTTTATGTAGAATTGCTGAAAAAGGATTTATCTAGCCTGAAAATGAAGATCGACTATTTCAAGCTTTGAAAAATTGGTCGGATGACAGCACATGGGAGGACAACAAGGCAATCTTCCAAATTTGTCGAGTATTGGCATGTGTGTCTACGAAAGAATTGCCAAGGTACAAATTCCTAGGAAGTGTAAAACTTGTTGAGTTACCATATGAAGGTGAAGATCAAATGAAGGCGTATTTTATTAGTTACAAACCTTGAAAAGACAATTCGGAAACTAGAGATGAAAAAGAATAGAAAATGTTTTCGAATATTTTACTAGAGTTAATTTCATTGTACATCAAACAGTTTAACATAGGTGAGCAATATAGCTTTATTATTATCATTAATTTAAATGAATAAAAGCGCTTGGAATATTATATACAAAACTTGTAAGGCACACATAAAATTTAAAAAAGAACTCACAGCTTCAATGAGAGATTGAATCCACTAAATGGCAATACCTTAAACTGGAGGTACTTGATGAATTCTAAACCAGTTCTCCCCTCTGCGATCTTGAACTTTCAATTCAAAATCATGTGATATGTATCCCAATTTCAGATCTCTGAGAGTAGTCACAGGATGCAATCCATTTGGAACAATCTTTATTTGTTTACAGTCGATGATCTCTAGCTGCCTGAGGTTGCTTAAAGCCCCATCCTCTATCCTCAGTTTCTCCACAAAAAGGAAAGAAAGCTTTAAGAAGTGAAGTTGAGTAAAACCTCCTCTCGAACAAATTAATTCTTTCCCCACGAATGAAGATTGTTTTAACTTTAGAACTCTCAAGTTTGGAAGCTTCTCCAGCTTCAGCATAGGGTCTTCCAACAAAAAGGAACCTTCTAATGATAGTTCAGTTAGGTATGGTGGGAAATCTTCTAAATCAGGTAGCTTTTTGATAAATCCTCCAATATGCAGCTTAAAAAGACGGCAATGACCTGAAAATGTCATCAAATTGGGAATAGACATGTATGTTTTGCCAAAGTTTCCAAATGTAGAAAAATCATGAAGCTTCAAACATTCAAGGTTTTTGCATGAAGAAATCCATTTAGCTAGAGCCTCCTCTTGCAAATGCAATGCTCCACGCAGCTCTAATTCCCTGATGAATGTCAACTTGTCCAAGCCACCCTCCACACGGCTTTTGGAGCCAATGCGTATCCCACGCAACATCTGGAGATTAGCCAGAATTGGGCCCTTGGGTGGATTGATCACCATCTCTTTCTGCTCATTCAGATATAGATTTCTCAAATGTCGAAACTTCCATATACCAAATGGAACAAGGTCTATTAAAGTAGATCTCAAGTCAAGAGCCTGCAAATTGACAAGGTATCCTATTGAAGATGGAAGCTTCCTTAACCAAGTTGCTCTCAAGCCCAAGTACCTCAAATGAATGAGATCTCCAACAGCACAATCCAGATTAGGCAAGTAAACACCTTCCAGATCAAGAACGTGCAATAGTCTATATCTTTTCAAATTTCGAATATCTATTTTGTTCAAATCAAAGCACAACAATGAACGGAGTTTTGAAGCATTCCTACTCCTAGAGGTGGGAAGGACACCAAAATGAATGCCAACTCGATGACCTCCTGTAGGAAAACTGTCGCTTGAATCTTCATGGACAACTTCAAGAAAACGATCCTCCTTGGCCTTTGATATGGAAAACTCTCTAAGAAGATCATGCATGCTACAAGTTCTAATTCTACCACCAGACTTTCTTTTTCCGGCTAGTATCATACTCCTTCCAATCAGCTCTTCCAAGTAATCCTCTGCTATATCTTCAAGTGGCTCCTGACCTCTGGAATGCACAAAACCTTCTGCAACCCACAACAATATTAATCTCCTTGCCGAGATTTCAAAATCCTCAGGGAAGAGACTGAAGTATAAGAAACATGGTTTCAAGTAGTATGGCAAGTCATTGTAGCTTAATGCTAAAATTTCTGTACATTGTGCAGGATCTTGACTTAACTGCCAGTGAACACTCTGCAAAACCTTTTGCCACTCTATAAAGGTCACATCCTTTCTGGATAAGAGGCCACCTAATACTACAATGGCAAGAGGTAGACCCCTACAGGTTTTGACAATCTGTTTTCCCAATTCTTCTGCCCATGGAGGTACACTTGCAAATGAGTCGATCCTTACACAGACCTTCCTCGAAAATAATTTCCAGCTATCTTCGTCGTTCAGAAGTTTTAGTTCATGGGGAGGACACTTTGGGTCAGCACAGAGAGCAACTTCCTTGAAGCGAGTTGTGAGCAATACTCTACTGCCATTGTTCTTCTCAGGAAAGGCTTCTTTTAGATCATTCATGACTTCAGTCTTCCATATGTCATCCAGAACTATTAGATACCTCTTGTCCTCTAAGAAAACAGAAAGAATCTTGAGCAAATCTTGACTGTTCCTTTGTTCTAAGTCTCCTTTACCCAGACCCAATAAATTTTTACCCAATTCATTCAAAATATCTTTTGCTCTATATTCTTGAGAAACAAAAACCCAAGCACAACAATCAAAATGCTTCTTAATATCAGAACTTAGGTAAACTTTCTTGGTAAGTGTGGTCTTACCGATGCCTGCCATGCCAATAATTGAAATCACAGATAGCCGGGACTCTCCATAAATCAGCTGCGCTTCAACTGCTTTTGTATCTTCAGCAAGACCAATGACATCATCTTCACAATCATAAGGAGAGGATCGTCTCTTCTCTTGAAGACTGCCAGCTGCAAAACCTGCTTTTTGACTCGCTTCAACAATATTTTCAATCCCATAAGTTGATCTACTGTTAGTTATAACTTGAAGTCTAATCCTAATCCCTTTGATCTGTTCCCTAACCTTACGACGCAAAATCAACTCATTGGAGAAAACATACCTTTTGAAAAATGGGAAGAATCCTTTTCTCCTACGTTGGGCCAATCTAAAGATGTAATATTCAACAACATCCTCAGTATCATATGCAACATCTCTTATGTCTGCCACCCAATTTCTGACTCTTTCATTTGCAACCTGTTTCGAATCTGCATCTCTAAGGAAGCATTGCATTCGCCTTAATTCCCCTTCTATCGAAGCAACCTCATCATGTATGTCAGACAATGAATTAGCTTCCTCTATCAGATAGCTGGCAATTTTATCCAAAACAAAGGTTACAACGTATTCAGCCATGAATCTCGTTATTTGTTCCTAGAATCAATGATCAGAGGCTGAAAAAGCTAATGATTAAAGAAAGAGGCTACTTTTCCACTTATGCTTCAATCTTCAAATACAGTGTGAAGAGATCAGCCGCGTCTATCTTTTTTCCACAACTTATCCATTAATTATTGGTGAAATTGCTGCCACGGTTCCAAAAAGTCAAAATTGACCAAATTGGACAAAATATTAAAGTTTACATTTTTACATATAAAATAATTATTAAGAAAATAAAATAAATAAAAAGGCTAGCCACCCCACACCACTGGACCTTGATTTCTCTTCTCTAGCCAACAATAATGCTAGCACACCGCGACACCTCCACCACCTCTGTGCCGGCACAAACTTGTAAACCCACACCCCACAGTATCTATATAGAAAATAACGAAGCACACAGTTTCTGTACAATACTTTCTTACTTCTTCATTCATGATTCTTGTGTTTATATACAAG